GATGACCCACGCCTGCAGCTTCCCCTCCTCATGACCTTCCTCCTCATCTACACCATCACTGTGCTTGGGAACCTGGGGATGATCCTGCTGATCCTCCTGGATGCTCGTCTGCACACCCCCATGTACTTCTTCCTCGGTAACCTGTCTCTGGTGGATTTCTCTTCCTCCACAGTTGTCACTCCCACAGTCATCGCTGGGCTCTTCACAGGAAACAAGCTCATTTCCTACAACGCCTGTGCTGCTCAGATGTTCCTGTTCGCAGGCCTTGTAGGTGTGGAAAATTATCTCTTGGCCTCAATGGCCTATGACCGCTATGTGGCAGTGTGCAGACCCCTGCACTACACCACCACCATGACCACAAGTGTGTGTGCGGGTCTCGTCCTAGGCTGCTATGCCTGCTCATTCCTGAATGCCTGCATCCATGTTGGGAACACATTCAGTCTCCTTTTGCAGCTCCAATGTGGTCCATCACTTTTTCTGTGACGTTCCACCGGTCATGGCTCTGTCCTGCTCTGACAAACACATTAGTGAGCTGGTTCTTGTTTATCTCGTGAGCTTCCATATCTTTTTTGCTGTTTTGTTTATTTTAACATCTTATGTCTTCATTTTTGGCACCATCCTGAGGATGCACTCCCGTGCAGGACCTCGCAAGGCTCTGTCCACCTGTGCCTCCCACTTCACTGCCGTCTCCATCTTCTATGGGACTGCGATGTTCATGTACCTGCAGCCCAGCTCCAGTCACTCCATGGACACTGACAAAATCGCCTCTGTGTTTTACACCATAGTCATCCCCATGCTGAACCCCATGGTCTACAGCCTGAGGAACAAGGAGGTCAACAGCGCCTTCTTAAAAGCCAAGAGTGCATTCACTTGTTTGAGGCCCCGTAAGCTGTAGGAATTTGATTGTAACTGTGAGGTGAACCATTTCTGGGTTTCTTTTAGTTTTTGCCCAAGTGCTGTGTTACATTCTGAGGCCTATGTTTAAAATAAATTACTGAAATAATACTCTCATTTGTGCGAAAGTCTTTGAACATGAAGAAATGCTACTGTGTCCAGAAATAAATGAAGAGTGCGAATGCTTAAAATATCCTGATGTCTGCTGCCTAAACCATCCTTAAGGATATTGATGCATGCATGGATTACAGAGACATTCTTTTTCATATCTCATGTCAAAGCAAATATATGTACAACAGGCTCAAAACTGCCCATAAATAAAAGAAATGTCCACAGGGGTTCATAATGACAAATGGAAATGTATGTGGTCGGTTTCACTAGACATGAATATAATTGCTATTTGTGGCACTTAATTTTATGTTTATTTGGCTGAATTATGGGATAACTCGGGTAGCTAGGAAAATGTTTTTGACTTTTTTGGTGTGTCTGAGTCTGGTATTTAAAGTAGTGGGTTAGTGAAGAAGATCTGTACTCTTCTTTGTGGGGGCAAGCTCTCTGTCTCTGTCTGTCTCTCTCATTTAGAACACCCTCCTTCTGACACTCTCAGACATCAGTTAGTGATCTGTACCTCTTCTTCATCTTCAGTGTCCACACTCATCCCAGGCCCAGTCCCTGCCTCTGTCTCAGGCATTTGTCTCAGACTCAGTGAGCCCCCTGCCAGCCTTGTCCTTTGGAGCACAGACAGAGCATCATGGGACTTTTTACCTTGCCTGTTATATACCATGGTACCCTTAACAAACATCCTCTGATGTGTCTGTTCTGTTATTTCAGTTTTACCTGAGAACACTGAATAAAGCATTAGTGTTTAAAAACTGTGATTGAATATTTGGATTTTGTAATAGGTTATAATTTGGGCTCTGATTTCATTAATTTCTTTGATTATATTCTTATAGTCCTAATTTGAGAAAATACATTATACATCACAAAATAAAAGAGGTACTCTGCATAATTTAATGAGCCATGTACAAATCTGGCATCTCAAAAGAATTAATATTTATTTTTATGTCATCATTCTATACATCCAACATGATCATATTTTCAAAAGGATAAGATAGAGCAAGAAAATGCAAAAAACCAGCCATCTTTTAAATATATTCATATATCATTACACATTCAGATTAAGAATTAAACCTAAAAGCCACTAATATTGTATATTTTTCTTTCTGCATGTATCTTACACTGTAATATTTGCCACGCAACTCTACTTTACTTCGGTCACATTCTCTCTTTCACTCTCCTGTCTTTTTATCCTTTGTATTTGCATGGATTTTTTTGCCCTTTCTTCACATCATCAATCAAGCTCATGCCACAGGCCCTTTGTACTTGCTCTTCCAGGCATAGATTTCTCCTTGCACTCAGGGCTCTGACTCACTGGGACTCCAGTGTAGGTAACCCAAGCACTTGTAACCCAAGAGTCCTTCCCTGTCGACCATCATCCCTGCTCAGTCTCTGGTTGTCAAGCACACTGGCCCCGCCCCCTAAGTCATTCTCTGCAGTTGTTGTCAGCCCTTCGCTACTCTCCATGCTTATTTACCTTCCCCAAGAGAACGTGAGCTCCAGGAGAGCAGTGACTGCATCAGTTTTCTCATAACATGGTGATCAGTAGCCGAGAATAGGTGTATTGCATGCAGATTCCTCAGGAACATTTAAGTGTATGAAAATATACTTGACCTTTTATATTAATTGTGCAAATACGTTGAGCCCTTGACTCATTGGTGGTGATAGTGAATCGTGTAGCATAAGAACCTTCTAAATCAGCATGCAGCACATTTGAAGAGACAGTGTTCATTTTGTGATTTGCTGTAACAGCTTTTCCTACCTTCTCACCTCCCTCACTTGTAGACAAAACAATTTTCTGGAAATCTCATCACATACATCATCTCAAAACTTTCATTTTTGTTTTACTTGAAATGCTGACTCATTACAAGGCAAACGACATCAAGTAAGTACTGTTTGCTAATTCACAAAATGAAAAATTTAAGCCTCTATATTTAGTTGTATTTGAGGAATTTCTACATATAGACAAATTGTACAATTGACTGAACTGATTTTTAATGTCCTAATTTTAGGATTGCTTTGGATTTATAAAAATTTTCAAGACAGTGCAGAAGGTTCCCATGTGTCCCTAGAGTGAATCCATGATGGACCACAAAGGGCTGAAGTCCTAATTCTGAAACATTTCAGTATTACTCACTCAGTGTGGCCCAAGGCCCTATGCAGATGGCAGTATCTGCAGGATTTGGGGAAGGAGAGACCATCAGGATTATCTGCGTAGTTTCCATTGTGCTCACATGGAAACCCCAAGGGTCCCTGTGAAGCAGAGTCAGAAATGTTTAGCCATAGATGACAGGGAGCTGCTGACGAAGTAGCTGGCACATTTCAGCTCCTGGGATTATTATGCGCTTCCGGTTCATACAATCTGAAAGACTTACTGTGAGTTGATGTAACCTGTAAGTGTGCAGAAGTTCATGACAGCGTTCATTGTTGGAATGTGATAGACAGAAAAAACCCTTGCTGATTTCTTCTGGGCGACAATCTTATGTGACTATGGGACATTTTTTTGGGTAAATTCACCAAGGAAGCTACCAGAATTAGGCCTTCCATTCTTGAGAAGTTTTATTTTGTTTTGTTTAATTTCCTTCATCTACACTTGTTACAAGCTTACCTTTCATGGTCATTTTGACTATGGGATAAGCCAGAAGTCACAAGGTGACAGATCTGGTAAGGTGGACCAGGACACGGCTTTCACTTGACAGAAATTGCCATAAGCATTTGAATCCACGCAGCACACTGACATAGGCAGAAAAAGAGACTCACAGAGGAGGAATTCCATGAGAAGAAGGTGCCAAGAAGGGTGAGATAAATGCCTTCCAAGTGAGCAGTAGTGATTTGGATGTGATGAATGGCAATATTACTATATTTTTTTCCCAAAGTTACACCAAAAAGTCTATACTTTTACCACATATTTTACCTAAAGGAGATTAGGGTCTCTTTCAGGACTGATAGGTAAGCCTTTGGGTTATTTGTTGAGATATTAAGATACTAACTCAGATCTTTCAGGTGACCTTATTTCCCTGTTCTTTAGACAGTGATATTAGGAGAAACCAAGTCAAAGTCACAGCATTCATGCTTTTGAGAAATACTCCAAAGAACCACACACATAGTGTGTTCTTCAGTTTTGGACACTATTCCAAAACTACTCTATGAGTTACAGTGGATAATTCATAAGGAATAGAAATCCCTTTCTCAGGGTTCAGGTGGCTGGGAAGCCCACGTGCGCGACAGCATAGTCAGAGCCTGGCGAGCGCTTGTTCCTCCTCAGGGACCTTCTGCTGTATTTTCACAGGGTGCGGGGGAAGAACATGTCGTAGCATCACAGAGCCCAGAGTGCTGTGCTTCAGACAGCACAAGGCGGAAGGAACAAAAGGCCCCGCTAGCCCTCCAAGCCCTTCCACGCGGGTACTGATGTCCACCATGGGGCCGAGCTCAGTTACCTCCTAACTCAGCCTGCATCTCTCCTAGGCTCTCACCTTTTAGCACAGCACTACTGGCTTCCAGGTGCCAACACAGATGGGGGGCACACTTTCATGTCATCACACAAGTTGTCTCAGGTCCTCCTTTTCTCTTTAATGTTTTCCTAGGATTTAGCAATGTCATATTGAGTGGATGTTGCCAAATCATACCATGGACAACCACTCTTTCCTTACTACCGAAGGTAACCACTAACATTTTAAAATCTAATTAGTTTAAAAAGCTAAATCCAGAAACTTGAGAACCAGTTGACAAACTCATCCTTAAGATTCTGTTCCTCTAGATCCCAGATCTGATTTACAGGATTTTCTGGACAGTAAGAGTTAACAGAAAGTACATGTATACATGTTCTTTCTCTCTCCTCTCTCTCTCTCTGTCTCTCTGTCTGTGTCTCTGTTTCTCTATTCTCTCTCACCTTCTCTCTCCCTCTGTCTTTTTCTTTCCCTGTCTCTCTCTGTCTGTCTCTGTCTGTGTCTCTCTTTGTCTCTCTCTCTTGGTCTCTATCCCACTCTCTGTCTTTCTCTGTCTCTGTCTGTCTGTCTGTCTGCCTGTCTCTCTCTCTTTCTCTCTCTCCCTTTCTTTCTCTCCATCTCTCTCTGTCTCAACCTCGCTCCCTTGGTTATGGCTGCTGAGAAGTATGAATCTACTGGTGTCCAGCATGCTCATGATCTGGGAGAGCCAAAGATTTCTGACCTGTGTAACTGTGGGACAAAGATGTTTCATATCATACAAAACCTCTGCTCCTATACAGTTTTATCCTCATGCTTCATTCTATTACGGTCACAAAGTACATCTTTATATGTTCTGTTCCCATTAAATTAGCTTATTTTTAATCTCATTCATCTATAAAACTATATAAGAATAACAATAGTCACAAATCTAAAAATAATGTTTAATTTTAGACTTTTCTTGCAAGCCATTTTTAATTTTTCTTATAATTTTAAAATTTTTATTAGTACATGTTTGCAGTAAATAAAGATTACATTCACCGGCATTGGAACATGGTGGACTCCACCTATCTCAGTTCTTTTTTTCTCTCTCTCCCCTTTTTAAAAAAATCTTTTGCCAGCGTCAGATTCAATCATTTATTTTATAAGACATTATCAATTTAATTTTTACAAATAGAGGCTAACTGGCAGACTAACAGGCCGAAAACCACATAAAATGCCTAAGACAATTGTATTAATTCAAGGTGCACTTTTAGATACATTGCAGTGTTGGAGTACAATAAATTTTTCCTTCTTTTTTTCCTATTGACTGCCTTTTATTTTATACTTTATTTATCTGTTAGTTTTCTCATATGAGAAACCATGTGACATTGGAGTTTGTGTGTATGAATTACTTCCCTTAACATTAGATTTCAAGGCGCATCCATTTTCTGACAAGTGCCTCAAGCTTTCCCTTGAGTGGTGCTCCATTGTGTATAAGTACCTTATTTTCTTTATCCATCCACCTGTCTGTGGGTGTGTAGGCTGCTTAGAA